TGTCTCTTTTCAACTCAACTCGTGTTTCTCCACTTTTCTTGTCTCATCTTGACTCTTTATTTTGCTTCTCTTGCATCATATTGGGCCCTATTTTAACGATCTAAGCGCATGGTCTAAAGCGCACGGCGCAAGTGCACTTAGGGCGTGTCCGAATCCACTTTTGCTAGTTTAACAACGGGAAAAATGGTCGGCGCGCCCAGCGCATGGTCTAAAAGGGTTGTCCCTATTCTCTTAATGAATAATGGGTGTGTTTATAATGTAATATGTGCATAACGTGCCATAAACCAATCAGAGTGTCATCTCCCATCCCCTTTAAAAGCCAGTTGCACTTGCGCCATGGTGGGTTCGCTATTTACATGGCGGAATTAAATTGTTAATTTTTAAAAATGTTTGTGTGCTGCTGTGTTGCATCATATTGGGCCCTATTTTAACGATCTAAGCGCATGGTCTAAAGCGCACGGCGCAAGTGCACTTAGGGCGTGTCCGAATCCACTTTTGCTAGTTTAACAACGGGAAAAATGGTCGGCGCGCCCAGCGCATGGTCTAAAAGGGTTGTCCCTATTCTCTTAATGAATAATGGGTGTGTTTATAATGTAATATGTGCATAACGTGCCATAAACCAATCAGAGTGTCATCTCCCATCCCCTTTAAAAGCCAGTTGCACTTGCGCCATGGTGGGTTCGCTATTTACATGGCGGAATTAAATTGTTAATTTTTAAAAATGTTTGTGTGCTGCTGTGCGTCCCTGTGTGTGTAATAAGCAAAGTGTACACGCGTTGTGCACCAATCTATAGGCGCATATTACTAACATGCTCTTTAAATAACAAAGAAAAAATATTGTGACAGACTTTAGACCAGGTTTTTGTTGGTCAATGGTGCAGTCTATTTAATTTGCCTCAAAATATCAAAATAGCAACGCACCAACAATGCGCCTGAACACACCTCGTTTTCAGACCAGCACGCCCATGAGCGCACAAATGGGCGCAAATGCATTTGCTATTTAAACAACGTGGCGCAGGATGTGAAAATGACAACTGCATTGGGCTGAAACTAGCAAAAAACACTTGCGTCGCGCCTGGCGCTTCATTGCACCAGGTGTATGATAGGGTCCATTGTATTGTATCATATTGTATCATATAACGTATCATATAATTTCTCTCTTCTCTTCTCTTCTCTTCTCTTCTCTTCTCTTCTCTTCTCTTCTCTTCTCTTCTCTTCTCTTCTCTTCTCTTCTCTTCTCTTCTCTTCTCTTCTCTTCTCCTCTCCTCTTCTCTCCTCTTCTCTCCTCTCCTCTCCTTTCTCTTCTGCTCTTTTTTATCTCTTCTTCTCTCCTCTGGTCCTTTGTAGTTGACAGGCTTGTGGAATTCTTTATTCACCCTTATTATACTAAAGCACCATGGATGCATAGATTATGCAGAACCTCTCTCTCTTTCTTGGTGTCTAACTCTTTCTCCTTTTATCATTTGGTGTTTCTTGATGTCACTTGGAAGTGCTAGAGTGCCGTCCTTTGTGGATGTGTGTGTGTGTGTGTGTGTGTAAAGCTCTCCTCAGAGAACACAGGAGTCCAAGTGTGAGAGTGTCTGAGAGATCAAAGGGGAAAATATGAAGACACCAGGCATGCCAAAGATCACAAGGTCTGTGCGCACGTGTGTGTATGTTCTACCTTTCTGCGATATAAAGATCACATCAGGTTGTGAGTGTGATTTTTGTCATTGTGACAATCACACCAGATACTTTACACAAGTCTAAATGCACAAATGGTATTGGGTGACTTTGGTTTCGAAAGGTCCTGTCAGTTTCTGACTCTGTTTGTTTGTGTTTGTTAGGGCACTGTAAGATCAAAGTGCTTCTGTCAAAGTGTGTGTGTGTGTGTGTGTGTCACCATTTAGCTCCTTGCTCTTTTGTTCAGGGTGAGAGAGAGGCAGCTGCTTAATTGGACAGACAGTTCTCTCTCTCTCTCTCTCTCTCTCTCTCTCTCTCTCTCTCTCTCTCTCACACACACACCCACACACACACACCCAACAACACACCTTGCTCTTTTGTTCAGGGTGAGAGAGAGGCAGCTGCTTAATTGGACAGACAGTTCTCTCTCTCTCTCTCTCTCTCTCTCTCTCTCTCTCTCTCTCTCTCACACACACACACACACACACACACACACACACACACACACACACACACACACACACACACACACACACACACACAATCCACACTGACCACAGAGAACATGCAATCAGACCGGACAAAACAACACACTGAATAGCAATAAACTAAGCCCCAAAACACACTCTTGTTCATTGCACACACAAATACAAAAGAGCAGGTACTGTATATAATAAAGCAAAAAAACATGAGATGCTGTGCATTACAGTGTTTTATACCACAGTTAATGGATGTTATTAGGCACAGCAAGAAGCAGTTTGCTTTTATAAAATGAGAAAAAAACAGTTTTTCAATTTCAGTTCCAATTCAGGTTGTTATACATACAGTGAAGACATAGTTATTTAGCTATCTACACTCTAAAAAACACTGGGTTAAAAACAACCCAATTTGGGTTGTTATTAACCCAAGGGCTGGGTAAATATAGGACAGAACACATATGGGGTTAATTTTACCCAGCAAATTGGGTTGTATATTTAACCCATCATAATGGTTTGATTTAACCCAGCTAATGGGTTGATTCATTTTTATTGTAATATAGCTTATTTTTTACTTTATATATGAAATAATGTTTACAGATGCACAGCAAGAAGCAGTTTGCTTTTATAAAATGAGAAAAAAACAGTTTTTCAATTTCAGTTCCAATTCAGGTTGTTATACATACAGTGAAGACATAGTTATTTAGCTATCTACACTCTAAAAAACACTGGGTTAAAAACAACCCAATTTGGGTTGTTATTAACCCAAGGGCTGGGTAAATATAGGACAGAACACATATGGGGTTAATTTTACCCAGCAAATTGGGTTGTATATTTAACCCATCATAATGGGTTGATTTAACCCAGCTAATGGGTTGATTCATTTTTATTGTAATATAGCTTATTTTTTACTTTATATATGAAATAATGTTTACAGATTAACTTAAATCCATTAAACTTTTGTAAAATACTCCACACAACCACTGGTTTGCATGATAATTTCCTTTATTTTCCTTTATTTATCATTTACAGCATTGTTTATCTTTTTATGTATATACATATTGCCTATTTAAACTCGTTTAACAAACATTAAAAGTAAATATAAAAAATTAAACTGAAGTAATTCACGTGTAAACGACCAGTCTGTTATTCTGTTTCCACCGTAACGGTGCTGGTTCTCATGCCCGAGCTGGAGTTGTGTTCGGTGGGGAACTACTCATGGCTGAGACTATACTGTAACTATAGTAACTATACTGCCACTGCCTTCATAACCTGTCCAAAAACAAACCATAAACAGCTCTGAGGAAGTATTTTAACATCCAAAGTATTTGTATTCTGTATCTTTATGAATACAATTGTTTATTTTATGCAGAGTATCAGGCTTTTCCATCACGCGATAAGACCAACGTTAGGTGATTCACACCGCACGCCTGTATGTTGCTCTGCATGAAACTGAACGATATACAACACAGTAACGATTTTATATATAAAATAAAATGTACACAAACCTGTATTTTAACGAAGAAATGCATCAATTCGATGGCGCTTAGAACAGTTCTCTCCAGAAGAGAAGGCACAATCCCTGCGATAAATAACTCAACCGCTGGGTTACGTCTGACCCAGGATCTGAGTTATACAAAAACTACCCAAACATTGGGTTGTTATGTCTGACCCAGGAGCTGGGTAACACTAAAAAACTACCCAAACAATGGGTTGTTACATTTGACCCAGGAGCTGGGTAACACAAAAACTACCCAAACACTGAAAAAAATGACCCAAAAGGCTCAACCCAGCATTTGGGTTAAAAAATAACCCAGGATTTTTCAGAGTCTGTCTGTCTGTCTGTCTGTCTGTCTGTCTATCTATCTATCTATCGAAGGGTTTGGCTCATACAATTTACAGTTAGATTTCACTATCCGTTCCCATTTTCAAGCCAGGAACTGCAGTAATGTATCCCCATTTTGTTTATTAATCTACAAACTGCACTGTAAGCACACAGCGTTGTTGAACTGTGATTGACAGCACAGTTGTAAAGACCCACCACACAGGCTCGCCTGGATAAGGATGTTAGGCGTGGGAACTTGTCGTTGTGTTGGCTGAGGAACAGTGGCGTGATAAATGACATAACCGTATCTCAGCTGTTGTTTTCATATGAGCTCTGTTCCTGAATTATATTCATATATGCATAAAAGCAGGATATGAATGCATGCAGAGGGATTGCTGTGGTCAACCTAACACTGAGGTCATACATACCAGCGCTGCATTCAAGAACAAACCCTATAAAAATGGAATATCTATACTGCTGTCAGCAACACGCATTATGGGAATCTATGGTTGTGCAGGCTGAATTTTTATCATTTATTCATCTTCATGTCTGTCCTAATGTGTATGCATTTCTTTCTTCTGTGGAACACAAAAGAAGATATTTTGAAGAATGTTTCCACTGTTTTTGTACATATAATGAAAGTTCCAAAACAAAGGTCCAAAATGACATCAAACCCAAATAAAATAAAAATATTCTTCAATCTCATCTTTTTTTTCCACGCATATGGAATCACGGAATCCAGTCATAAAAACGGAATTTACTGTATAACGTGGAATGTCACGGATTTTGCCAAATTTTTAAAAAGTCGGTTAGTACACTTAAATTGAAACGTGATATGGACTACTGTCTGTGAATATTAAGCAACAAAAATACCTTTTAAATATGAATCCTGCCTGTTCTGTGCGTCTATGAATGGTGCAGACGCGTGGTTTCGTTTACTACATACATTCAGTATGTACACTATGTAGTAAACTAAACTGCACATTTGTGCCATTCATAGACATGCAGAACATGCAGGATTGTGTGATGCTCGCTGTGTTTTCAGCCTCTGATGCCTTAATAAATGAGTACATGAGACACACTTCATGAGCATTTACCGTTTCTTTTGAGAAAAACTATCATCATACCATATACAAACATAAAGTCTTCACAGCAACCAGTCAGAATAAAAGTTTGGTTTAACTTGAAGAAACTGTGACAGAAATATTACGTATTGTAATGTGCTACTACTACTAATTCAATTATTATTAAAACATTATTTTTAAAGGAATATTTACCAGAAAACTTATTTACTAGAATTAATTTAGGAGAAAAATGTAAATACACAACACATAAATACACAATTTCTGGAAAAAAAGAGAAATAAATAAAATAATATATTTTTTATATAAAATCAATTAATTAGAGAGGCTTTTGATTATTAATATTTAATGAAAACATTAAAATGGAATCCAGAAAATTAGTAGAAAACTGAATTTGAGAAAAAAAAACATATTTCACAGGGCATCAAAAATTTAACTTTTCTTAACATTTTAATAAATTATTTTTAATTAATTTATATTGTAAGTTTCATGATTTCAATTAATTGGACACGCTTTTTGATGAATACAATTTAATTTAACCATTAAAACAGAGTCTAGAAAAATTTAAATGGAAAAAAATGAATTTGGGAACAAATAAAACTTCTTCATAGGACCTTACATTGAAAGAGCGTCCAGAATATCATAGGGCTTGTTTGACTTGGGCCAGTAAGCAACCTCCCTGAACACTAGAAATCACATAGCAATGCCCTGGCAACTGCCCATAACAGCCTGGCATCATGTCAGTGAGATTTTCATGGGCAAACACCATAATTTTCTTCAGAAATGTGCAGTTTTGAATTGCTTCATGTTTATCTCTTTATTTTTGTTTAGAGGGTTTGTATGTGCATTTGTCTGTTAGCATTTGAATGTGCATATATGTGTTTCAGATTGTGTTTGTGTCTGTGAGTGTGTGGGGAGTATTTTTTCACTCTAATGGCATCTTTAGCTAGAACGTAACGATGGAAACCACGTTGCCACGGAAACACTGCATGTCTCTTTGAATTAGAAATCTCTCCATATACACACCCTTCCTTCTCTCTCTCTCTCTCTCTCTCCCTCCTGTTACTGTTACTGACAGTGCAGCTGTCCCTAGTCAGGAAGTGTCAGAGCAGAAAGATATTCAAATTCAAATAAAATATATAGCGCAGAGAGATAAACTGAGAGGGAGAGTGAGGAAGTGAGATGGACTTCCTTGAAGGGAGAGTTAAAGAAATAATTATCTACCTCAAAAAAAAGAAAAAGAAAAGAAAGAAACTGAAGTGGCGAGATAAGGAGAGTAGCAGAGTATAACAGCTGTAAGAAGAGGGTTAGTGAGAGAGGAAGAGAGATTGGTTATGCTGTGCTAAATGCTGCAGGTGTTAAGTAACACTGTACAGCTCAGACAGTTTTGTTTAGATCTGAATTAACACCATATTACTGCTATAATATTAATAATATAATACTATAATAATAATAAATACTTTGATAAATTGATACCATATATATTTGATCTATAATGCATTAACTAAGCCTTGTAATGCACCTTATAATGCATTGTACAGTCTCATGAATGACGGTAACCACAGTTATTAATACATTATAACACTTATCAGTTTGTTGTTACAATATGCATTTTAAATTCAGTTATAATTATTTACGACAAGATATAATGTATTACATATAATAAATAATATATAGATAATTATAATAAATAATATATAGAATAATTATAATGCATTATACCCTTTAATAACCCTTTATAATGCATTATACATAAAGGCTTAAAGTAAAGTGTTACCAACCTGCATTACCAATACTGCTACTTTTGTATAATAATTTCCCCCCATTTTTAGTAATTTTAGTCTAATCTTACTCATTTTGAAGTCACTTTGGAAAAAGCATCTCCTAATTGAGTAAATGTACTACTACTACTAACTAACTATTTATTTATTTATTCTTAAATAAAATTAAGAAGTGTATATAAAACAAAGAGTATTGGTGTTTTACCTAATACTGTTTTAGTATTTCTTAGTATTTTATAATACTATTTTCTGCTTTTAATTTCACATCTAATTCAACGAGTTACTGTTTCTTTGTAATTATTTGTGAACTTTATTAGCAATTTCTGAGTGAAAAATTTTCCAAGCTTTTATCAAGTAAATTCTACACCAATTGTTTGTGTGTTCTATTAATCTATGAAAAAAAAGAACTAAGAAAACAATAAAGGTGTCACTTGAATGGAAAACGTAGTGAAAATCAGGAAGAATAAATAATGAGAATTAGTTTTTAATGTCTTTTTATTATTTAATATCATTAAATAATAATAATTTTAATATTAAAAAAGTAAATGCTCACAGTCTTATTTCCAGATCTGTGATCTACCAAAAATGGATGTAGCAAAAATTTACACAAATTCTTCCAGTGATCTCTGGTTTGCATAACTGTATTCCTGAAAAATCAACGATGATTTGGAAGATTTTTTGACAGACAGTCTGATTTGCATGAGGGTGCCAAATAATTAAATTATTTTAAACCAACAGAAGATCTTTAAAATCAGTCTGTAATTGTGTACTTACTGGGTAGCCAGTACAAATGAGCTAAAACAGGTTTGATGTTGTAGCTAATATGTACTACAGCGAGAGAGAGAGAGATTTGAAGAGGAAACTAGCCTGTAAGGAATAACGAGTAAGTGACAAGGAAGGGAATGACGGAAGCGAGATGAATCGAAGAGGAGAACTTGGGAAGTGGAGGAAAATTTGTGTGAAATACTAAGCACAGGGCTGCCAGAGATAGAGAGACGGAGAATGGCAGACAGAGAAAGTGACTTGTCATGAAAGAGGGAGTGGAAGAGAAATGTGAAGAAGTATATGGTGAAGAAGGAGGCATGGGCTGACTGATGAATTAATGGGAAGAGGAAAAAGAGATTAGGATACTTGAGATGATAGAAAACAATAGGAGAGATGGCGAATGTAGAACAGTCCATAATACAGTGGCAGGGTTATGAACTGAATGATGTTCATTTTACACGGTACTTGACTCTCACTGGGCACACACACACACACACACACACACACACACACACACACACACACACACAAACTCCCTCATGTAACACACTCATTATAGAAAGAAACATTCTGTCTCACACACTCTCCTCATAAATTGGAGACATTTTTCCATATTCAGGCACAGCGCTCTATAATGCTTGTATTCATTACTCTAATGAAGCTTAATGAAAGCATCACCTTCACTAGCAAACACCAAAGATCACAACAGAACAACCTGTTCTCTGGAGCTGCCGTTCATGTACGTGTGCACGTAACAACACCTCAGTAAATACAATCATGTGGTTTCACGTGGATGTCTTCGTAGAAACAGCATACATGGAAGTGTATTAAAAAGCTCATGATGTAAACAATCCTGAAGAAAGTATTTGGTGTATTCTTTAAAACTGACTTTAAATGGTGTAATCAAATATAGTAAGGCTGTTTCAGTTATATTAAATATGTTGACTTGATAATACAAATATGTTGATGGCTATTCATTTACAATAAAAGAATGATAATGCATGCTGTTTTTGTTTTTACAAAAATGACGTACACTGCCATTCAAACTTTTGAGCCCAGTAAGATTTTAGTTTATAACTTTTTTATTTTTGTTTAATTTTTTTCTCCAGCCATTGAGTCAGAGGCAATTACTGAAAGAGCAATATACTGTATGGCCTGCAAGCCTAGGTTCCCAAACACTGTTGTAACATAAATTAAAATTAGGGCTGTCAATAGATACACATTTTTAATCAGATTAATCACACCCTTTTTCTGTGATTAATCGCGATTAATCGCACACTTCATGAAATTAAGCATAGACCATTTATCTTGTTACAAATGGTTATTTTGTCATCATTTGCTATATTCAGCAAAGTAAACCAAAAGATTGAAGGGTGATTCTCAAAAATCTGTATTTTCTGCAAGCTTTTCTCAGGATAAATGTAGATGTCTTTCCAAAAAAGGACTCTAAAAGAACTCCAAAAGGATACTCTAAAAGGACACCAAAGAACCAAATGATATAAGGAGCCCATATAAGCACATATGAAAGAAAAACAAAATGCAAAAAATATATATATCTGAATTGTATAGTATGTGTACAGTGCAACAGCAAATAGCTTTTTTACATTTTAGAGAAGTCAAGTTGCGTAACACGAACAGGACCACGTGGAGATGCCAAAAAAACCCTAAACCAATCGCCTGCTGACTGCATATATCTACTCCAGTACACGGATCCATTCTGTATAACTAAACACAGCAACATAAACATGACAAATCAAAACATTATCGCGAATGTGTGTGGAAACAACGTGAATGTACGGAAATGTCTGTGCCTGTGCATAAATACAATGTGCGATCAGTGCGTCAAGAGCACTCATACACACATTATTATAACGGACTCATGTGTGCTTACTGTACTGTATGACTCCTGTACGCCACCGCAATCGCCTTAACCGTGATTGCAGTCTTCATCTATCTAACTTTACTAGCTAAACTGGTTATCCAGTCGAGAAAACGTAGTTTGTGACTTATCTGGCCATACAGTGGTGGGATGTGTTGACAATCCGTTCAGTCTGTACTTCACACAAGCGCGTGACATGTGAGGGCTCGCGCTCTTCAGAGACAATCACAGAATATGACAGAACTCGTGTTTAAAAGCGAAACACACTGGAATGAATAATTCACTGAAATCGCAACGCAAGGCTCTGTTCTCTCTGCAATCTCTGATGTAATCAGCCTGGTTTCCTTTATATTAGCTCTGTTTTGGATGGATTGTTTGAATGCATTCGCTTACTGGATCATTGGACTGAAAACTTTCCCGGAGTTTAGCAGCTTAAAATTATCTGATCACAAGCAGAGAAGCAACAGTAATTTTGCGTTAACTGCGTTAAATTATTTTAACGCGTTAAGGATTGTAAAATTAATCGCATGCGTTAACGCGTTAACATTGACAGCCATAGTTAAAATCAATGTTTTTTAATTAATATTTATTGCATTTTTGGTGGTTGTCAGTGTATTATAAAGATACAAAACAGATATTAGCACTTCACTATGTTGGTATATTAACATTACAGTATATCCGTTAAATACAGGTTAACGGATATTATAAAAACACCAAAAATGTGCTACCATATAAGTGTATATGCTTCACATAGAGTAAATAATATAGATCGCTTTTTTCTTTTCCAGTTTGCTCTTTTTTTTCAAATACCAAAATTCAAACTCAGTGATGCCACTTTGTTCGTTCTTGAAGTGAACTTTTGCCTGTTTGAAATGTTTTGGACTACTGTCTTGAACTGAACGTGATGTTTGGTGTGCAACCACCTTCAGGCATATAAATAAATGATAATTTTTCAACTTTTGAGCAATTCATTACTGCTTTTGTGAAGTTGTCATACTAATTGAAATGCATTGTTTTATTGACCACAATATGGTTGTTGATAATTGGCACATACTCTATTTTCTTTTTACTTTACTAGTTACATGCATCTTCTTAAAGTTCTCTGTATTTTTCCTTTTGCTTTTACAGCATTTCCAAATTTCTCTCCTCTTTATCTCTTCTCTCACTACCTTGAGATTATTTAGGCAGTTTAAAGACCCTCGATACATACTAATGCAGCATGCACACACCACACCCTGGTGCTTTTGATAAAGATCAAGCGTTGAGCTTTCAGCAGAGAATTCATGGTGCATGTGCGTGTGTGTGTATTTTGGCTCTTTCACATGGCTTACATGTGTCAATAAGTGACTAATTGCCTTTATCCTCTGTGTTACTAATGAGCTCTATTAACTGAAAAGAGCTGAGAATTTAATTACCATACGGGGTTGAAGGGTATGAAAAATATCAACTCTGCCTCCATACTGTCCCCCTTTCCTCTCCACTTTCACTTGCTTTTTTTGAACGTGTTCTCTTTCACTTATTCTAGCCATCCTTTTCCTGCTGTCTCCACCATTTGCGGTCTGTGTGTTCAGCTGCACTGTGAGCCACAATTGACGAGCTCGACGTATTGACATAAAGCATGCGTTTTAATGAGACGATCAGCTATCATTGCCCTGCCTCCTTTTTCCTTCACCAAGTCAATTCAAAAAAATTAAAATTA